CTAAGGGAAGAATCCGGCTGAACCCTTTTTAAATTTCTGTTTAGGGATCTGGAATTTAATCAGCTGCTACCAAACCTTTGGGGCTTCTTAAATTTTGTAGCTCTTTCAGGCTGCCTTAAATCTCCTTTAAATCGTTCATCTGTTCAGAACACACTAAAAATGCTTTAAGTTCCAAACGTGAAACTCAAATGGAAATCCCAAATTTAAATAACTATTTTTAATAGATCATGTCTCTTTCCTACCCATGATTTACATCCTTGTCTCCTGTTTTCTACTTTGTCCTGATTTGGAATGGATGGGCATCTACCTCTAGCTTTCTGGGAGTAAAAGGATGAAAGCTATTGATTGGCCAAGGCAATGCAAGATGTCCTGTAAGCTCACCTCATATATGTTGAATGTAAGCTATCCATTCTAGATGATTCCCTGGCACACTTCCATACTTAGTGGATCTCTTGGCTCATCAAGAACATTAGATGTTGTTTAGTAGTGATTGTTCTGTCATATCTGAGTATTTTATTTTAGATGAGTGAAAATCTCTTCCCCAGAATAAAATGCTCAGATACATCAAAATAGTCATTTTACCTTTTCAGAGAATTCACATTGAACCTATTGCCCATCCTGTTGGTTTTCCTAATACCCTTTCTTCTGTCACTGAAATTCAAAGGACATGATTTTGTTCTGGTGGTGGATTGCTCCACTGACTTTCTAGACTATTTTGGTCAAGCTGCTTTGCACTTTACTGCTATAAAACCAAAATGATTCTCATCTCTCAGCTTTCTTGAGATGTAGTATAGGGATAATAGATGTGACTGCGCTATAGTTCTGTGTTGGATATGATGGTATCATTAGGCATTTTCTCTTCTGCTTGAACACAACTGAGTTATTTCAGAAGAGGTGATTGGAGGAGCAGCTTCAGTACATAGAAAATAGTTTAGCTCTGCTTGGCTGCTTTGCAGTATGGTAGTTATTTCTTTTAGTTGACTGATTCCTAAGGAAATTTGTATAAAACTAGATTCACTGGTAAGATGTGGCTCAAGAAAATCAAGATTTGCACACACCTAATAAAGGCAAATCTAGACTTATACAAAGATATGCTAGAGAGTTATTCCCTTTAAAAAAAGGATTTTTTTGGCTTCACACTAAAATTCTTAAACATCAAATTTTCTTGGTACTTTTCAAATATAATATGATTTATATACAGTCTATCAGAAACCTCTCTGTTGCATTAATAGCAGTATAATTATGAATTAGAATAGTTTTCCTCTAGGAACCTGTTCTTAATCCCAGTATTGTATCAAGTAGAAAGATCCCTGTTAGGGGACAGCTTCTTGTAATATCTACGAATTTTGAGTGAAACATAATGCATAAATCTTTCCAGGACAGAAAGCATCCTCAAGAGAGACCTCCAGGGAGATGGTCTCCTTATAGATTTGACTAATGAGAGGGTACCAGTGTCAAGGATCTGTCAACCTCTGTAGAAGTGTCCTTGGCAATCATTAGTTTAAAAAAAAATAGACCCTTTTTTAAGAACAGAAACAAGTTATTTTAATACTGTTCTTAATTTCTGAGTGGACTGTTAAATGAAAAATTCAGAAAGGACCTATATGTCCTTTTAAGTACAAAATCTGCAGTTATCTAGTTCAGACAAGTTCTTTTTTCTTTAGTTTGTTTTTGTTCAGTCATTTCAGTTGTGTCCAACTCTCTGTGACTCCCTTTTGAGGTTTTCTTGATAAAGATGCTAGAGTGGTTTGCCATTTCCTTCTCCAGTTCATTTTTTATAGATGATGCACTGAGTTAACTGACTTGCCCAGGGTCGCACAGCTATTAAGTGTCTGAGGCCAGATTTGAACTCAGGAAGATGAGTCTTCTGACTTCAGGCCCAGTGCTCTATCCACTGTACCACCTAGCTGTTTTAGAAACTATTAAAGTCAGTGATTAATAATTTCTCATCTTTCAGAATTTCTATTTTGCATGGTAATGCCCAAACTGACAAGCACCCGTAAGTTTTCCTGACTTTGAAATATCTGTTATATATGAGGTCTCTGTCTGCCAGAGACATGGGGAGCTCAGCTTCTTCCTTCACTTGCAACCATTGCCCCTGGGAATTAGCCTCTCCTCCTTTGTCTCTTTTCCCTTCTTTCTGCTGATCCTGCCACCTGAGAAGCCTGCTGCCCACAGGGATCCTATCCCATACGCTTCATCTCCCCTCTAACTTCTTTATTTTCTCTTTCCTTCTGGATAGGGATTGGCTCTAAGGGCTATTGGCTGTACATATGCAGCTGCCAAAGCCATTGGGGCTGTAGTTGTGGAGGGCAGGCGGATTTCTTCCATAAGATTCTCCTTCTCCACAACTTTTCAGAACTCTTCCCTCCTCAGGTGCCACAAATCCCCTCCTTGACTGGATGGAAATTTAGTGTTTCCTCAACATAGCTGCTTCAAGGATATTTTAGTCTTAGTTTTTCAAGTTGGAACTCTGAACTCATTCTGCGCTGAAAGACTGTTCTAAAGCAGTTAGAGTCTGTTGTACTGTGAGTACTTAAAAGTTCAGCTACATTATGGTTGATGCTTTTGGACTGGTCTAAGAAATAGGAAATCACTGCTTTAGACCCTGGTCTCCTCCCAGCTGTGATTCTGAATGATGCAGGGAGGAAAGGACAGTAGTTTGGTTCACCTGACTTGGTATTTTGCCTCTTGTAAAGAAGTTTTGGGAGTGAGGTGACTAGAAGTTGTGCTGGACTTGAGTAAATCTGACAAACTCTAGCCATTGCTTTAGAAAGTGAGTGTGTATGAATGGAGTTAAGGCCAGAAATTGCAACCAAAGAATTTTTCCCAAGCTCTTTATGCTTTGGAGGTTAATTCTAGTGCTTCTTTCAAAACAATGCAAGGGATGTGAAGAATTTTTAGCCCTGTGTGGAAAAAATATAGCCTGCTTCTGGGGTAGTGTGCAGACAGACAGGATGTTATCATCACTCATCAGCTACAGAGTTAATAGCTTTGCTGAAGTGGGAAACGCTGTGAATTTCAAGGAGTCAGAGAATTATAGAGCGAGAAGATGGTAACAAGAAGAGTGGACATGCTTCATTCAGCAAAACCTTTGCCACATTAATGAACAGTGGAGTGTGAATTGTTTGGGGCATTGATTCTCTTGTGAAGTTTTTCCTTTTGTCTGTTAAATTTCCAGTATGGCTTACTAATTCCCATAACACTGGGATTTACGCTGTCTTATGTCTTAAGTTGTTTGATATGCTATCTTCTTCCAGAAGGGATCCTTTAGGATTCCAGGTGATAACAAATAAGGATCACACTGTAGGGAAGCCTGACTTTTCAATAGCCATCAGATTCCATTATACCAATGCTTGGGGTTTTTCAGTCTGTGCTAGGTAATCAGTCTTTTATAACCTTGATTGTGTGCTACTAGGAACAAGTATTTTTTTGCAAGCTATTTTTTGTAGTGTTTCAGCTATCTTTTCTCTTTTTTTTTCTCTTCTTAACTATCCCTTTTATATACAGCTTTGGGGAGGGGGGGGAGTGAGTGGAATTTAAGAGTGCCCATCAGTTGGGGAATGGTTGAATAAATTGTGGTATATGCTTGTAAAGAAATAATATGAAGAATCCAGATGAACACTGGAAAACTTACATGAAGTGACATAAAATGAAGTAACAGAACCAGGAATACAGTTTAGACAGTGACTATAATGATGTTAAGAAAGAACACTAAAATGAAACCAAATACTATTTAAATATAATGATCAATTTTGTCTCTCCCCTTCTCCCCCACCCCCACCCCACACATACATTGAGGAAATATGTACCCTCCTTTTTTCCTTGGAGAGATGGTAGACTATGGGTACAGAATGATGTTGTCAGACTTGATTCCTCTATCTGTTGATTTTGCTGACTTTGTGTCATAGAATAAGGTTTAGTAGGAGTAATGTAAAAGGGAAAAAAAATCATCAGATTTTTATTTTTAAAAAATTAACCAAAGAAACAAGTTATAGTCAATCGTATTTCAAAGTAGCCTTAGATTTCATTGCTAACACTCTGCTTTAATGAGGAGCAGAGAGAAGGTGGAGAGGTGAAGATGGTTATATGGGTATTTGGAAAAGTGCCTCTCTGTAGTTAAATTTGCAGGTTTTCCCAGAGTATTCTGTTCCTACTAATAACACATATATAGCATTTTACCATCAGCCAAGTACTTTTCCCCCAAAGTACTTACTGAACCCTGGGAGGTGGGTAATACAAGTATTATTTTACAGTTCAGGGAAATAACTAAGGAAGGTTAAGTAACTTGTGCAAAGTATGAGTCAAAATCAGGAATTCTAATCCAGAGCCTTCCTCCTGACTCCACACCAAACTACCTATCATTCACAGTCCAGCCTAGCAAGATTTTTTCTCTTAAGGGCAGCTCATTTCCATAAACACAATTATTTCATAACCCTCGTTTGTCAACCTGTTTGGATTAGGTATTTATGATCTTTCAGAATGAATGAATGAATTTAATTGAAATAGATTTTTTAAAAAACATTATTAAATGCTTTCCATGTGCAAAGCACTGCTAAGTACTTGGGTATACTGACAGAAAACCAAAGACGGTCCCTGCTCAAGGAGCTCACATTCTGATGGGGAAGACAGGACACATATAGGAGGTTTCAGCTGCAAGTCAGATGGAAAGGTACCATGGTCCTTAGGGTACAGTGGCAAAGCAGATGGTAATGCGTCTTCTTTAATGTTATTCCCATGGACAAACTTATTTCTGTTTCTGATGTTGAACCATTTGATGGTGCCAAGGACTTTGGTGGGGACAACTTATTTGGTGAGGTGTTGGGGGGTCTTGCAATAGATATGGCTGCTGAAAAGGCCAGGGCTGTAGCACCTGCCTGTTGGTGGCAGTTGGTCAGTAATTGGAGGTGATGTTTTAAGGTGTTGTCAGTGGTTTGATTCTCCTGGCACATGCTGTATCTCCCTCAGGGTGCCTTTCTCCTTCTACTGGGCTGGCTTACCTGCCCTAAAGGTGGCAGTTGATTGGCAGTTGGTGGGAATGGCTGGCCCCTTCTCTACAGTGGTTGCTTCCCTGAACAATGACTTAAGGGACTGGGCTGGAAGGAGGGCCAGTGTTGTAGGGGGTGCTTCTGTTCCAGGGACCCTTGAGCTTAGCTCCCCATTGGTGGCAGTTGGTCGGCAGTTGGTGTTACGGATAGTGGGACCCTTCTCCAAAGGGATTGCTTCTTTGAATAAGCAAAAACTGAATCTTTCATTAAAGAATAACTTCAGTAAGCTCAGATTCCTCATGAATCTAAACAACAGAAAAGTTCAAATAATTAGAATTTTTCTCCCCACATTTTAACTTGGCTTGTTTTGTGTGTCAAATTCTCTAATTGATGTCAAGACTTTTTAAAAAAAATAATGACTTCAGTTTTTAAGTGATTTCATTGAATCAGTGAACAAATTTCCCCAGCCCCTCTTATATCTTGCAGGGGTAACTGATATTCACAGTGGTATATAGTGCATTAGAAAGTACCCCCAATGACATAGGTTTGAGTCCTAGCTCTACCTGTGTGGCCTTGAGCAAATTAACATCTCTGGGACTCATTTTCTTCATCTGTAAAATTAGTGGAGTAGACTAAATGACTTCTTTGATCCTTTCCAGATTTAAATCTATGATCCTATGATGATCCTGAGGCATTCTAAGATCTTGAAAGGTTAATTTCTGAAAGAAAATGCTTTCTTAGTTTTTAGAGAAAGGCTAAACTATGTTCAGTATAGTTTCACTGCTAAATAGATTTTATCCTGCCTTTCAGACTTAATCTCCCATCAGCCAGGTGGATCCGACCAAATTGTCCTGGTTTCTCTCTGTCTGTCTCACACACACACACACACACTCACCTTATGTCTCTTGATTTTCTTGCCTTTGCATAGACTGTCCCTTCTCATTCCCCTTGTACACAGTCCTTCACTTCTTTTAGAATCCCAGGCTTCCTTCAAACCTGAGGTCTTGCTCTGTCCTTGAAAGTGCTAATAATACCTCCCCCACCCCATCACCTGATGTTTACTTGGTGTTTACCTGTATTTATACATGTTGTTTCTTTTAGTAGAAAGGAAGCTATTTGAGGGTAAGAACTGTCTCATTTTTTGCACAGTGCCTATGCATGTGATTGGGTTCTTTATAAATGTCTAGTTGTTGACACCAAACACTAAAGCTCACGATTATTTCAAAATGTGTTTTCTCCTTCACTCAGTGAAGATTTTTTGGTACTGTCATGCACTTGGCAGTGTGCTAAGCATTGAGGACCCCATGCCATCACCAAATTGAAATGATTCTTATCCTCAAGTAGCTTATATTTTTGTTAAAAAGACATGTTTATGTAGAGATGTGTGGACAAAAAAAAATTAAGGCAACCTTGGAGGAGAAGGCACCAGCCTCTAGGGTAAGAAAGAAAGTTACAAGAAAGGACTCTTGTCCTTTAATAAAAACCAGAATTCCAGGAATCAGAAATATGGTAGGAGAACATGCCAGTCTTGGATGCCTCATGTTTCATGAATGATGAAGAGCCAATAAGCCAGTATGGCTATACTATGTAGAGTACATGGAGGGGGGATTTGGTGCTCTCTTCACGCCACCCTCAAGTTCAAGTGAGGCAGTCTAAGCTCCAGTCGCCGTGGGGTCTGACTCCTAAGCAGTGGGGAGGGAGGTGGTTTCTCCCTGCCATTCCTCATTGTCTTCTAGCAGCAGAGATCTGCACCTGCTGCTATAGGATAGTAGATCTAAGCATACCGGGTCCCTCAGGAGCCACCTAGTCTAAGCCCCTTGTTTTACAGAGGAAGAAATTCAAGTTCATGTGGGGTAAGTGATTCGCCCAAGGTCATACAGGTAGTAATAATTAGGAGACACACCATCCAGTTGCTATTCAGTTCCTTGGCTCTGGAGATCAAGGGAGCCAATAGTTAAGCCAAGATATACATTCTCCACATAGAATTGGACACTTAAGGGAAGTGGCAGCTTTAAGAAGCTTGACCCCTGGCAGCAGAGAAGAGAACCAAGCCTTGATTCAAGCTGGAGAGGAGCAGATCCAGGAGTTCAACAGACTCAGCAGAGATGCTGCACCCAGTAGGGCGAACAGGGTAAGGACTCCACAAGGGGAGAAAGAAGACATCAGGGTCCAACAGTAGTACCAGAGTGATGAGTTACTTTGGCCATAGGCACACGTTCCGTCTGCCTTTTCTTCCTTTGGATACTGTTTGTGAGAGCGGGCTTCAGATTTATGGGGAGAAATTTTCTTTCTTTTTTTTTTTTTAACAGTGACATTTAAGTGAATGTCACAGCTTTGAGCTAACCATGTATGCTGGTTAACTGTCAAGGGAAATCGTTATTAGAGAACTTTGAGCAATGGTTTTAGGAATACAGACCCAAAAACTACCCCTGTAGTCTGTGAGCATCACTGGGGACCCCACTTAGTAGTTAGTGAGTGTGCTGGTTGAGGGAAGTAGTCAAAAAGATACAGTATAGTAAGAAGACTAGAAGGATAGGGAAAAGCCAGTTAAGAAAAAGCTTTAAATGCCAGACAGGAGTTTTAAGTTTGATCCACGAGATACAAGGAGCCACTGGCGTTTATTGTTCCAATTTTAATTGCTATTTGGCTAATCACTTGCTGGTTCAAGGTGATAGAGTCTAGGAGTTATTTGCCAACTCTGCCTAATTCTCATTCATCCTGGATAACTGGAAGTATATTGTAATTACTCTTCAAACTACTGGCATATGTGGAATCAACTCTCTGCAGCCTTTTGATTCTGAAGATGCAGGTCCCAAAGCGCTGCTTGTAATGAGCAGTTTGCAAAAAGCAAGTCCTGAATAGTCCTTAATGTATTTTCTACCTCTGAAATAGTTGCATGCAGCCTCGAAGAGCTTTCCTAAGCCATCTTTGCTGTCATGTGTGGGAGGCAGTGGAGGGCAGTATATAATTACTTCATGTGGTGAGATTAATGGCTCAGGCTCCCTTTATTCCTCTCATCTATTTAGTCCCCATTTCCATGTCACCTGCCTATCAACACCTAGAGACTAATGTGATGATATTAATAGCTAAAGGTGAAATGAAAAAGTTTCATTAAAAGATAAAAGGACATGAATTATTGGAAAAATTCAAGAATTCATTACTCCAATTTCATTCCTAACTCCTTAAAGCTTTTTTTCTCCCACTCACCCCCATGCAACTAAAAGGCCCCAAGTTGTGGTACTGCCTTATTTCATAGTGGAAGGACTGATCCAGCTCTTCATAGATATTAACAGCACTAGCTTTAACACAGTCGAGAATACTGTTTTGTCATCAGTTTAGCATGACCTCCCCCAGTTTAGGACCTTAGGTGAATGCCAGAGGTTACAGAATGTATCCTCTTCTGATTTCCACTCTCTCTTTCAGTGATAAACGAGTTACATTTAATCCAGTGTCCAGTGAAATATAAAATTCCATAAAGCCTCCTTGGTTATTAGATAGGTATCACAGAGCTGCTTATTATGCGCTGTGGTGTAATGAAGATTATAGATGTGACCGAATGGTAATTAGCAGAGCTGAAGCTGTAATTAAGCGCTATTGTTCTGTACTGTGGTTTCTCCTCAGGTTTCTGTTGCAAAGTGGAAGGAAACTGAGAGTTTCAAACCCACAGGCATCCTTCCTCTCACCCCTCCTCCCATCCCTCCATACTCTCTTTTACATAAACAATCAACAGGTTGGCTCCTCTCTGACACTGGAGGAGGAGGAGAAGAAGAAGGGTTGTTTCAGAAACAACTGGCAACCAACCTCTTCCAGTCTTCTTGCAGTTTATGTTTTGTGACTTCTTAGTCTTAGTTTTATAAGAGGGTCTTTAGAACAGCTTAAATTGGAGAACACTGTATCTCAGGCTGTGGCCAATCGCCCTCACTTTTGTCTTGCCACTGGGCTCCTGTGACTCTAGAAGGGAATGTGCAGCTCTTAAATCCAGTACACACATGGGTGTGATGTCATTGGTCCTCTGTAAAAACAAAGGGCAAAAAACAGCAATGAATAATTCAGCCACATTTTAAACATAATTCCAAATTGTTTTTCAAAATGGTTGGACAAAGTCACTGTTCCACCAACAGTGTATTAGTGTGCCTGTCTTCTCTCAGCCCTTCCAACACTAATTCTGTCTTTTATCATCTTTGCCAGTTTATGGAGTATGAGGCATTTCTTTTATTAGTAGTGAGTTGACATCTTTCTTAGGGTTATTAAAGTTCCTATAAGTTATGATTCTCTTTTTGAGAACTTTTTTGTCTGCTGACCATTGAGATCTTTCATATTTGTGTTAATTTCCCAAATATCTTAGATATCAGACCTGTATCTTAAATATTTGAGGCAGAGATGTCTTTCCTAAATCAACTGTTTCCCATCTTATGCACTAATCCTTTTCATACAAAAGCTTTTCAAAGTCACGTAATCAAAATTATCAGTTTTCTCTTTTGTGATCTCTTCTATTCCTTATTTGGTTAAAAACTTCTCTCCCTAGTCTTTTGAGCTGATGCGTTGGTTGTTTGAGAAGCTCCACAGAGAACTTGCTTTCTCCCTCTTCTGTGCCAGAGTAGTACACAGAAAGCCTAGGTGATAGAAGGAGTTGCCAGCCCATAAATATGACCCAGTGGCCAGGAGACATAGTAATGGCCTGGAAGGCTTTCTAGGTGTTTGTGGTGTGAAAAACTTTTCTAGGTCAACAAATGAGTCCAAGGTGCGTGGACCCCAAAAGATTTACTTCTGCCAGTAGCTTTAGGGCATTGATTGGGGTACAAAGAAGAGCAACACATTGGCAGTCATTCTACTACTTTCTCAGGACGTTGTTATCTTCACCCAGCTTCCTCTCCAGTGATGTTCAGTGGTACTACAGAACCTTCAGGAAATTGACTTTTGAGAGATTTGTCCCTTCTTTATGTCATCCCTGAACAACATGATAGAAGCAATGTTTCAAGACCACAGAGGAATGAAGGCTTCATTTTGTTTTTCTTCCTTTTCTCTAGTCCTCTCCACACATCCCTCTTAAGTTTTTACTCAGTTTTCAAATTAAAATTAATGGAGAATATGAAGGGACTTTTGGGGGCCTAGTTGCTAGTAAAATTATAAACTTCCCACTTCAGAGGAAACAAAAGTAGACAGCAGCTGTTTTGCCAAATGCATTTTACAAAAGTGGAGGATGCAATATACAAACTCCCACTCTAGCTAATTGTTTCATGAAAAGGCTGGGTTAGAGGAATTGGTGGGGTGGGGAGAGGTATAGGGAAGTATAGTCATACACTTTGCAGCAACAAACAGAAAATGATGTTTTGGCAGGTGTTCAGGGACCAGAATTAGCCTGAATCAGTTTGAGCTTTCTGTGAACTGCTAGTGATGATCTGCAAATTGCATTGACTTTCCAAGCTAACAAGCTTGAGTTGGCTCTATTCAGCGACTGTAGCAAGTGACCAGGCCTCAGTTTTTCTTACAGTCTTCAAGGTCATGGAGTAGAGTACAAGCAGTGTAGCTAGAAGTGAGCCATAGTGACAGACAATGCCACAGTCAGAATTCTGCTGCATAGCTGCCCATTGGCTAGGATTGTATAATGTGTTTTTTCCTTACCTATTAACATCAGGTTCAAGGGCTGCTCTGCATTTTCATTGAGTAGCCCCAGGAGTAAATATCTAAGTACTACATGGGTTTCTAGCAATACAGTGTCTATATTCTTATTTCTCTTCTTTCTAGATCTTCTGATCAATGGTGTCATTATGGGAAATCAATTGACCGATATCCCTATATGCCCTCTGCTAAATGGCTGAGACTAGGTGCTGCAGATGCATAGATTTCTGCCAACTGGATAAATGCTAGGAGTCAGAGAGCCAAAAGAACTACCCTCTTTATTAACATTTCCCTTCTCCTGCCCCTTAGGATGTTCTGCACCCACCTAGGAACCTAAGTAATCATGTTCACTTAGCTGACTAAGATTATAGGTAGAATGATTGTTTTAATTTTTGTCTTTTTTCATACAGGGATGTTTTATCAGTTGCTTCTCTGTACCCTAGGGATTTGCTGATACATAGATGCAGGGCTCCTATTTCTTGTAGATAAAGATAATGGCTAGATCCATAATCCTTGCAGCTATTCTCATTAACTTAACTTCTGTTGAAATCTTTGGGGTGAGAGACACCGACCGATTCAGTTGTTCTCAGCCTAATTTTTAAGTAGATTTCTGTCATACTAAAAGATGGAGAGGTAGATAGCACTTCCTCAAAAGACATTTTTGGGGCTCTAGATCATTTTGAGTTAGCTGAAGAACTATTCCTGTCTCTCCCACCCACTATTCCCCGTTGTAGATTACTGTACTATTTCATAGGATCTGGATTAACAAGGAAGGAAACTAACAAGAGACATGTGCCCTTTCAAAAATTCCACATCTAACTTGGTATTTTCCTTGAACATCCAAGTGACTCATTTCCCCATCTGTAAAATGGAATGGAGGGGAGGGTTTGGAGTATATAGTCTCTAAACACCTTCCTAGGTGTAAATCTTATGACACGTTGACAACATCTGTAGACTCCCTTTTTCTAGAGTTTCCATGATGGAAAAATAATTGAACAGCCCCTTTTACATATTTAGTATGAAACACTGTTTAATGAGTAATTGGGGGTGGGATTGGGAGATGATATGCAGTGGAAACAGTATTTCTAAAGAAAAGAAAATTTCTGTTGCAGGTTTCTCACTTTGTGTAGAATTCAGTGGTGGTAGCTGCACACCATGACTAGAGACTAGAGTTTTGAACTAAAAGTTTAAAAATGCAGAATTTAGAGCCCTCCAAGCGTGGTTGCCTGGAAAGGGATGTGGGATCGAAAAGGTCTTTTTCCCGTAGGTGTTCTAATTGTAATTCCTTTGCTGCTTTCTTTCCCCTCACAGATGGAATCCCCTGTCTCCACACCAGCTGTGCTGCCATTGCATCTTCTAGTTCCAGTGGTCAGTAATGATATCTCCTCCCCCTGTGAGCAGATCATGGTTCGAACCCGCTCTGTAGGAGTGAACACCTGTGATGTGGCATTGGCTACAGAACCTGAGTGCCTAGGCCCCTGTGAACCTGGGACCAGCGTCAATCTAGAGGGCATTGTGTGGCAAGAAACAGAAGATGGTAAGTGTTGTGTGTGGTATGTGGCATGCCTAAAATTGCCTTTTCAATTTCTCTTTAGGAATAGTCTAATTTAGACTTATAATACAATGTATCTCAAGTACAGGTTAAGACTTAGTCTCAGGATTCACGATCTCCTACTGATAATGTTACAGTGGATTAAAAGTTTTCTAAAGCAGGAAATAACTGATTTGAAGAATTGTGAGAGTCACATTCTTTGACTGGTTAATTTACCCCATGGCATCTACAGTATGTTACATTATTGGCCTAAGTGCAGTAGTATTTAGTGGATTTAGGCCAGGGAAAGTGACATGTATTTTCTTTCCCTCCAAACATTTTTCTTACTTTTTTTTTATTCAAGGTTTTTTTTTCCTTTTTATTATACATTTATATTGAAAATATTTTGTTACTTACATTTTATAATACATCCTTTTTCCTCTCTTCCTCCTAAAGAGCTATCCCTTCTTATAAAAAAGAAGAAAAAAGTTCAGCAAAACTAAGCAACATATTGGGGCAGCTAGGTGATGCAGTGGATGGAGCACCGGCCCTGAAGTCAGGAGGACCTGAGTTCAAATGTGGCCTCAGACTAAACACTCAACACTTACTAGCTGTGTGACCTTGGGCAGGTCACTTAACCCCAATTACCTAAAACAAAACAAAGCGAAAAAACAAACTAAAAAAAACTAAGCAACATATCAAAAAAGCCTAACGTATATAGTGTTTCATAGTCATAGTCTCTGACATCAGAAAAGGAGAAATGCAAAGTATTCTCTGCTTTGGGGTTGAATTTCACAGCATTCAGTATTAGTTCTTTTGTTGTTGTTTCCATTTATGTTATAGTAGTCATTATTGAGTATGTTGTTTTCCTGGTTCTGCATACTGCTCTTTGTATCAGCTGATATAAGTCTTCCCATGGACATTTTTCTTAAATATCAAATCCAACCTTGAAGAAAAGTCATGGCAAAGCCACAACATCTTGAGAGCTAGGAGAACAGGTTATGTTATTGGCAACTTCTGTGTGATCTTTAGCTCTTTTTTTTTTTTAAAGCAGAACCACGTTCTCCTCCAAAGATTAACTAGTAGTCACTACCAGCTCCCCCATCCCACTGCATATACCAAGATTTTGTAAACCTAGGAAAAATTGGAAAACGTTTGTCTTTGTTCCCATGCATCCATTAAACGTTTAACCACCAATGGTACCCCCTACCATCCTATACCATCCTATCCCCACCCAGGGACTTCAGCAGTCCAATCCCAGTAAAAATGTTTAGAGGGATGATTAGGGAAGCTAGACCTTAGAACACCTCATTGGGCTTCAGCATCAGTAATCAGATTGAGAATAAAATTTCTACTCCAAGGAGTTCTGAGGTCCATAGTAAGATAACTGAATATCTCTGATTATCACATACTGTCATGTAGATTTGCATTTAAAGATACAGGTACTCCTCTGCTCATTCTGATAAATTCTTTTCCAATGAATGATGTTATTATTTAGTGCTTATTTAAAGTATACTCTGCAGTAGGCATTAATGTGTTATCTGCATTAATCTCACTGTTGGTCTTCTCTTTTTGGGGTATTAATATAGTAGTGAAGCTGGTTTTTAGTTTCAGTCAAACTTTGAAGTTTCATCCTATGCCAGAGGCATATACAATACACAGTGTATTTTGTAGGTAAAAGGAATACCGATGTTTGTGCCTGTTTCTATGTACCTTACATGCAGTCTAGAAATCACAAAGTGGCTATTTTTGATTTTTAAAAATGTCATTTGCCTGTAGCCAAACTTCTGAACAGCTAGAGAGTCTGTTGGAATGAGAAACATGTGAGGACCATAGCCTAATGCTGTTCAACAGGCATTGTTGAACAATGCCTCAGTGCATTGAGTTGATTGACAGAAGACATCAGTTTCTTGCCTGTTTGCTCTGCTCATCTTCAGGATTTGGGGAGGAGGGAGACAGGTAGCCTTCTCAAAAGGAGAGATGTTTTTCGTGTATGTGAACCTAATGAAAACCTTTAAAAAACAGAGTGGAAAAAGTCTAAACTTTTCTTTCCCTTGAGATCAACTAAGGTGCAGGGTAGGTTTGTTGTTCTGTGACACGTGTCTGACTTTCTTTATGAAGGTAACTGGCCATCCGTCACTCAAGTCACTTCATGCCTTTTTCATTCCTGGATCACTGCCACTTTGTCTAAAAAAAGAGGGCCACATAAATTAATGTTTTTAGAAATCTTTAGAAATCTTACAAAAGTCCTTTCTAGACTAAAGCACGCTTTACAAAACTTAGGTACAAATATGGCCTTTTTTAAGAGGTTTACTGTAAATCTTGAATTAGCCCTGTTCTGGTCTTCTAGTCGAAAAATCTGAATTGAAGGCAAGTATACACATCTCCCCCTTCTTCCTTTATTATAAAGCATATAAGCATTTATCTTTTAAAAAAATTTTTTTTCCTGAAAAATAAGCATTCTCATAAATAGTAGAATAGAAAAAAAGATGATTGTACGTGAAACTGCAAATCTCTTATGTACAACTTGCTGTTCCTTTTAGACCTTTTGATTTTTTTTCATTTCTTTTTCTTTTTTTTGTTTCTTTTTTTTGGCTAGGCAATTGGGATTAAGTGACTTGCCCAAGGTCACACAGCTAATAAATGTCAAGTGAGTGAGGTTGGATTTGAACTCAGGTCCTCCTGACTTCAAGGCCAGAGCTCTATCCACTGTGCCACCTAGCTGCCCCATTGGTATTCTTTTTAATTATATAATAAAGTTATCATGCAATTTTTTTTTCCCTTTTCTCTCTTCCCACCCCCACCCCCACCCCCCATGGCTGCCAATAGGAGTGTGTGTATCTGTAAAACCATTCTACACATACTTCTGTTTTTCAGTTCCTCTGGATGCGGATAGCATCTTCCTTCATATGTCCTTTGTAGGTAATTTGGGTATCTCTGATAGTCAAAATGACTTACTCAGAATTGTTCTTAAAACAATATTGTTGTTACTGTATACAATGTTCTCTTGGTTCTGCTCATTTTGCTCTTCATTATTTTGTGCAAGTCTGTTTTTCTAAGATCAAGCTCCCCCCCATTAATTAATTAGTTATTTTTTTTTTAGTTTTCAGCATTTACTTTTATAAGATTTTGAGTTCTAAATTTCCCCCCTCCCTTCTCTCCCCAAGATGGCATGCAATCTGATATAGGCTATACATGTACCATCATGTTGAACATATTTCCACATTAGTCATGTTGTGAAAGAAGAATTGGAACAAAACAGAAAAACCATAAGAGGGGAAAAAATAGAGAAAATAGTAAAGCTCGTCATTTCTTATAGCACTTTTTTTTTTAGCACAGTAGTATTCCAACCCAATCATATATCACAATTTGTTCATTCACCTGTGTTGCTGTCCTCTTCCCCTAGTATGCACAGGAAATTGTCACCCAAGTTATCAAGAATTGCATACTTCAGAGAACAACCCCTCTTGGCTTTTCCATCGGGTACAAGATTCTAGGCTTTTCACTTACTGACTTTTTCCCTCCAGGTTCCTTCTCTCTACACTGCAGACTGTCTTGTTCGTGTAACAGACCTTTTACATTTAGTCAGAAGCTGCAGACTACTTGACCTCTCTTAAGGGATAAAGGAATACACAAAGGACCCTGCAGAATTAAATCATCTTTCTGTGAACTGATGCAGAGGCCACAGCCCGGATTCTTTCCTCCATTCTGCCTAAGTGTCCTGTTATGTCCCCCTCCCTCTCTAGCCATCAAACTGGATCTTGCTTTGGAGGCATTTTGAGATTCCTTTAGTTCTTAACTATTTTTAGGCTATTAGTAATCCAGCCTGCACTACTAAGATCCTCCCTGGGGAGCCTCAACTCTGGGACTTCTTCTGTTAGGAAGACCCTGGGAAGTGTGCCTAGCATTATAAGGCTGAGAGTGACCTGTCTCTTCATTTTCTTGGAACTGCTGCCTCACATATAAATCCTTTCCTTTTCCTCTGCTTTTTTTTGTGTCACTCAACACTTGTCCAGGCTCTGACTTCTGACTCATACCCTTCTCTACTTCACTTACAATCAGAAAAGTGGGTTCCAGATCTGATTCCAGGATTATATAATATACCTCTCTGTTGATCTTGTTAAAATCCACATTCTTAGGTCAGTAACCTCACCCAGGGCCTTGATGGCAATGAAAGCTTGAGCTGAGCACTCTGTGTTACAGCTTATGCAACGTTGTATGTTGACAAGTTTTTAAGTTTGTGGTTTTTTTAATGTATGAAAGGCAAGGTGGGCCTTTTAGACAAAGACGGAAGCATTTACATTTGGGCCACTTTTAGGCAGAAACCTTAATAAGATGAATTGTGTAGGTGACCGCAGAAAAAAATATGTCATTTCTCACTACTATTGCCCAGCAGATCTTCTTTAGTGGAAAGTGCAGTAAGCTATAGAAAGCCTTGATTTTTATCCCCGCTCTCAGCTAACTAGGTATTGGAAGTTGGACAAGTTGCTTAAAGTATGTTTATTCCCTTTGTAAATTGAGGAGGTGTCTTTGAACTCTAAAATTCTATGATTGTATAACTTAAGCCAGCATATAGCTTACTTAGTCCTGGAAGATTAATGGAGGTGAATATGGTTTTATGTTGCACACAATTCATGTAACCACGTTTTATTAAGGGATCATAGGATCATCGATTTAGAACTGGAAAGGACCTCAGAAATAATCAGTCCAACCTACTCATTTAACTGATGTGGAAACAAGGCTCAGAGAGAGCTTAAGGGCCTTGCCTCAAGGTCACACAGGCAGGTGGCACGTGAGCCCAGATTTGAACTTAGATTTCATAATTCCAGATACTGTGCTCTGGAAGATGACATCTCATCAACGAAATTTCACTGGGATTTTGTAAATGGATCATATAATCCCAGTAACATTTTGATATGGTTTTTGGCGTGTAAGTGAAGAGCTAAGTAGTATTTTTTACAGTAGTAAAAGGTTTTATTTTCTCTTGGGCTTTGTTGTTGTTGAGATTTTTATTATAGTTCACTGCTTCTGCCCTTCTCACGTCATCTCAAAAAATCATAAAACAGATAGGACCTTAGAGGTCTATCTAGCCCAAATCCCCCTGCTACCCAATGCATTACTGTCTGTAGAAATCCCTGGTGTTAGTGGGAACAGTTCAGGATTTGGAAAGCAGAACCTGGATTCAAATCCAGCCTCTGCTACCTTGGTACTATATGACTTTAAGCTAGTCTTTCCCTTGGCTTAAAATTCTTCATCTCTAAAATGGTTTAAGGGGTGGGGACTAGATAACCTCTAAAATCCATGATCTTATGACCCATTGTGCTTCAGGGCTCTTGATATCCCATAAGACCAGAGGAGATAATCTTTGCTACTTTATCAGTAACAAGATATAATGGAAAAATGCTAGGAGTAAGAAAAGGCCAAGGTTCTTGTCCTCCTGCCTAGTTATTGTGGCCTTGAGCATAGGCTCATAAATTTAGAGTGGAAGGGACCTCAGAAGCAATCTAGTCCAAACCTCCCATTTTACAAGTGAGAAAACTGAAGCCCAGAAATGTTGTGACATGAGCAAGGCTGTAATAGTAATGTTAGAAGTGAGATTTGAACCCAACTTCACTTGACTCTTGAGCCAAATAAGCTCTTTCTGCTGTACTTTTTTTCCCACCTTCCCAAGGAAGTTATTTTACTTTTTTTTATTTTATTTTACTTCATTTTCCTCATTATTTTAAAATAGGCTTCCTCTAAGACCCCTTCCATCTCTAAATATTTTAAGCTTTTTAGAGTAGAAAAAAAAGGAAATCAGTTTAAAGGATGATGAGGATGGATGGAAACCTGCGAAAGACACCTGTCTTTTCAGACAGGCCGTTGTGGCTTCTGTGTGCTCCTGCCCCAGCTTCCAGGGAGAACACATAGCCACATTTCAAACTCTGGTTGAGCCGTCTACTCGGGTTTGCAGATTACACTTTTCTCATTACTAGAGTAATAGACAGTGGTTTTACTTAGGAGGAAGTTAGTTTTCCTGTAGTTAGCTGCCCTGAGAAGGGTCTGCCCAAGTAGTAGTTGGTTCATCATCCTCATTTGCTTGGGTACCCTTTCACCAAGTCCTCCTCCTCCCTCCCATGTCATTATCCTCTCTCAGTTGTGAGAGAAGGCAGCCTGTTAAACTCTTTGCACAGAAATTACTGTTCACTGTTATTCTTGTTTTGTTCCATGAGAATCTGACATGGAAAAGTATCTTTGAACCATAAATATCTAATTATAGTACCAGAAAAGTAACATAATACTTGCTTTTCTGTGTTACTGATTTCCTTTTCTTCTTCAGCTTAATTAACCGCTCTTTACCATCAGTCATTTGCTTCTAGACTACGCTCACCTGGAGATACAGGTCACTGTGACCAAGCTCCTCAGTTTGGCCATTTGCATGCTAGCCTGACTCCCTGTAGAAAGATCTCAGCCAGTAACACAAACATATTGAGCCCAACAACCATTGTCTGGCACAACAAACCTTCATAGCAACAGAGACCACCACATGGCAACAGCAGTCACTCAAAGGAAAAATTAGTGAAATCAGCACATACTTCCTCTTTCATCTGTTGTGCTTCATCCAGCTCCCCAGCCTCCAAAAAGCAAGAGCAACAGAAAAACATCCCTTTTTTGTCCCTTCCTTGAAACTGAAGGTGGTTACTCTTCTCTGTTCCTATTTGAGTTAAGGAGTTTTCCTGATTTAAAAACGTGGACAAACATACTAGCCAGCATTGTACATTTCAATACTGAAAACTAAAGCAAAAAATTCCAAGAATGACTATCTCCTTTTCCTTTTAAACTTTCTCTTAAAAAAAGTTTATTTTTATCCTAAACTTAAACACAAAGTAAAACGAACACTTCCATAAACAAATTAGAACAGAAAAAGGATTGTACATGAAACCACAAATCTCTGTTATGTACAGCTTACTTTTTCTTTTGAAGTATATAATAAATTCAACATATAACTTTCAAATCTGTCCTCATTTTTTTTTTCTTCTGGCCATCTCTTTTTTGCATGTTTCAAAATGCTTCAGCTGGGAGCAGCTAGGTGGCGCAATTCATAGAGCGCCAGCCTTGGAGTCAGTAGGACCTGAGTTCTTCACATCTAGCCTCTGACCAAATACTTGACACTTACTAGCTGTATGACCCTGGGCAAGTCACTTAACCCCAATTGTCTAAAAAGGGAAAAAAAAAGAAAAATGCTTCAACTGACCTTTTTTTATTTTTCTTTTAAAGAACTCTGTTGGTAGTCTCTTTTCTCCCCAAACTCCTTCCTCCAAATTGGGAAAACAAAACAAAATATTCATTCTCTTACTGGGCAGAGATAAATCTGTATTCTTTTAGGAGTTTCTTTGGCTTGCCATTTGTTTTATTTCCCCTTTTAAAAATTCTGAACCCAACCAAAATGAAATAAAATGAACATTCCCTGATGGAAAGCAAAACACCCCTATTAACTAACATCCCATATCCTTTGTGTGGCTAAAATTGAAAAGGTGCCTTTACTTTCTTTCCTCTCACTTTATAGCAGATTGCCCCTTCTGTTATCACTGTTCTCTCATCTTCAGTCTCTGCTTGTATACTGGCTTCCTCCCTGCTTCCTATAAATATTATTATATTTCTCCCATTCTCAAAAAACCCTGACTTGATCCATCCATTCCTGCTGGCTGTTATCCTATATCTCTAATCCCTTTTGTGGAAGCATTTTTTTTTAAAGGCAATTGGGGTTAAGTGACTTGCCCAGGGTCACACAGCTAGTAAGTGTTAAGTGTTTTGTCTAAGGCTGGATTTGGACTCAGGTCCTCCTGACTTCAGGGTCGGTGCTCTGTCCACTGCGCCACCTACCTGTCCCTCTAATCCCTTTTGTGGCTAAACTCCTGAGAAGGCCATCTTTGAACTTTCCCTCTTCCTCTCCATTTCCCAGCTTCCTTCAAGTCCCTGCTAAAATTCCACCTTTTAACAGGAAGCCTTTCCTGATCTCACTTACTTTTACTGCTTCCCGTCTATTAAATATGTAAATTGCTGTTTGCAGATTGTCTCCCTCATTTCTTAAGAGCAGGGATGGTTTTTTGCCTTTCTCAGTATTCCCCAGCTCTTAGCACAGTGCCTGGTAACATGGTAGGTGCTTAATATATGTTTATTGACTGACAGTGAAAGAGAGTAGCATATGAAACTTGGAAAAATTACCATTTTTAGTTTACTTTTCGAGTATATGATAAATTCATCATGTAACTTTCAAGGCTTCCTTGCTTGTTTTTGCTTCTAACTTTTCTTCTCTTTGGTGCCTTTTTAAGTATTTAGTGTTTCCCTTACCTTCTTAGTCTTCTTTTTTTTGGCAACTCTGTCAGGACAAAAAGGGGAGGAGGTGGGAGGAAGAGGTAGAGACAAACAAATGAGCAAATTGTCACATTGGTCGCCTCTGAAAAAATATATCACAGTCTACTCTTTGAATCTGTCATCTCTGTTAGAAAGTGAGTAGTTTGTTTTATCCTTGGTTTTGAGATCATTGTTGGTTATTATATTGATCAGTCTCAAGTCTTTTGAAATTGGTTTCCTTTGTTGTATCATATAATTTTGTTCTGCTATTAGTTCACTCTGTATCAGCTCATATAAGTCTTTTCAGGTTTTTCTGAAACTATCCCTTTCATCATTTCCTACAGCACAGTAGTATTGTATTGTGTCATATTCTATAATTTATTCATCCACTCCCTAATTGAAGTAATGGTTGTCTTTATTACTGTCTTTACTTTCTTACTGTGATAGTAACAGAATGGGAACTCTTTTGTGTACTGCTTTGGCTGCCATTTCAAGATATTGCTTAGCCATTGGAAGTGTTGAATCCCTTCTGTAGTGGAGGTCCAGGTAGTGAAACTACCTTTTAAGTGAGGTTGCCATATAATGAGGTACGTTTTATTTGTTTGTTTTTAAGAAGCCTGCTTTAAATTGTTGATGATAGACCAGCATTACAACAATGGAAAATGCCCTATGTCTCCAACTTGTTCTTTTGGTCAAATCACTTAATTTCTGAAAAAACTGGAGCTCTAAAATTCTTCCGTTCTAGAAATGGTTGTGGTTACTCAGGTGGTGTGTGAAGGAATTAGGTTTGCTGGTCATTTTTTGTTTAAAGAATGAGTAGACAGCATTGCAGGACTTTCTAGACTAGGTGATTTAAATATTGTTAGAAAAGTAGATCCTGGCTCAGCCTAGCTGATGAAACTATTGTCAGGGTGATGGGCAGAAGTCTTGAATACCTTTGTAACTAAGCCTTGACTGTCGCACAAGTAAATTTAGCCCATTTCAAGCAAAACTTTGCTCAAGTTGCTGCTTCTGCTGCTGAAAGATGAAGTAAGACTATTCTTCATTTTGAGGTAGATCGCACAGGATTTCTTAACCTGGAGTCCCTGAACTTGTTTTTTTTACCCAGTACTTTTTGATAACTGTATTTCAATCCAGTACACTTGGCTTCTTTTTTATTCCTATGCATTTTATTAATTTAAAAACATTCTCAGATAGGATCCATAATCCCCCACTCAAAATTAAATAAGAGTCCCTGCTGTAAAGGTTGAGACTTTGTTCTCTAGATTTCTTACAGTGTCTCTCAGTCCCCACTTCCTGGTTGAACAAAGAAGTAAGTGAATATCAGCTATACAGTTTTAAAATAATTCTCTATTAAAAAGTCCTATTGAGTAGTCTTTGTTTTAGCATTGTAGACTATAGCTTCATTATTTTTATTCTTGCATCTCCAAACTGGAATGTGATGTATTAGGACCCTGTGCTTTCAGTTGGATTAGGGATGGACAAGAGACAGACTTGATGTCAGTTTAGGACGTGCTACTTACTAATTGTTGAAGGGATTTCTGTTTGATGTACCATCCCTCTATTCTTGCCAGATTCTATATTTCCCTTAGTTTATGCCTTTACTGTCATCCCCATGGTAACAGGCTGATATATGATCAAGAAGCAGTGATTTTGAGCCTTGGCATCCCCAGCCTTGGCATCCCCAGCTTTCTCTCCTCTAAAAAGTATCCTATGTTCCTTTTAGAGTAGCTACAAAATCCAAATGGAATGCTTTAAAATAATATTCTGTCTACACTATGTGAACCTTTTAATTAATTAGCAACCTTCCCATTGTGCTTTATTTTTACCCTTGTAATTTATGAGTGCTTTCCTCTACTTCTCCTTAGACTTGGAATAGGATGCCTCTTCCCATATGCCAACTTTTCCCTGCCTTTTATCCTTCAGCTGACTTGTTAGAATTATTTAAAGGCCTCTTCTCCTCATCTTAAATGTAAAGCATGCCTTTGGAGCCTGTGGCATTTGGTGGAAGGGAACAGTTATCTGTAAGGATGAAACAATGAAAATGGAACTCTGTGCTTACCAATTTTTGTTGTAGTCACTTCTAGAGTGGTATATCGCTCCTTTAGGTATAAAGCAGAATACTCAGGGAATGCCAAAACAGACAGCTAACTCCTAGAACTGAGCCCAGCAGTGAATGCTTTTTCTCTCTCTGGTTCTCTTTTCAGTTCAATTCCTGAAGCTCAGTTAAGTACAGTGCAGGAGGCCCCATGATATCTGTGCTAGAGAGCTGGCAGCATCGGGAAGTCCTGGATTCAGGGCTTGCCTCAGATAGATACTGGCTTTGGAATTCTTGGCAAGGCCTGCACTTCTTTGTGCCCTAAGCATCAGGTCACAGAGAAGATACCATTCTGCTTTGGGAGAAGTTTCTCACTAGGAGCTCCGTACTCAAATCTAGTTCCAAAAATTCAAAATTCCATGTTGAGCACTGGGGGTAGAAAGATGGACAGGACAGATTCAGGGAATTTACTGCCTAGTAAAGGCTTTCCCTGCCAGATAGTCAAAGCCCCCAGGTTTCACCTGTTCTACTGTTGCTTCCTGGGCAAAGAAAGATGCCTGGCTGAGCTAGCTGAAGCCAAACCAGACTGCTGGAAGCACAGTTAGTTCTGCTAATCCTGGAGAAGCTTGGAGTAATTTTTATACTAGGCTAACAGTGGGAAGAGAGGAAAAGATAATTGCTTAGGGAGTTAAGTATGCATCAATGTTCAGTGTCAGTCAGGAAAGAGAGCTAGCCACCCTCAGACTTTAACTATATTTCCTTGCCCTGCTGGCACAAAGTACCATTGTGTGGTTCTGCCCCTAAAATAGTGACCGCAGCTTAAAACCTGAAAATATATTACAAAGATAAGCAACAAGAAAGGGAAGCTTTTGCGTTTGGATGAATTTCTCAGTCGTTAGCTGATCAGGGCTGTAAAGGAAAAATGCATCTGTTGAGCCTTGTGGCTAAATGCCCCCAGCCAAGGTCTTCATGCCATGTTAGTTCATGAAGTACTTAGCTGTAGACAGGCATGGCTCCATTCCAACAGCAGGGAGGGAGCTTGCTTGAGTTGGACTGGCCAGAGAATCCATTCCCTTTCCCAGTAACTAGAACTGTCACTGAGCTGACAACTGAGTGTATGGTGAACTCTACTGAGCTTGCCTCTCTTCTTAAAAACTGATACAATTTGTGGTTACAATGGGAGGAGGAAAGAAAGAGAGGATGTATGATTTGGAGGGTGTAAATGAATATAAAATGTCCATGATGCCGGAATAGGAATGCTGTTCTGAGATCCTCAGCATTCCTTACTGGACTAGAGTTAGTGTTGGAGTGGTTTGGGCTCCCATAGACTGAGCTTATTCTATGGATATTCTGTTCTCTCCAGCC